ATTCGATTTATTTTTATGGAGATCCTTGTCTCAATAATTATTTATATAATAATTTACTGTTCACCTGAGATATATTATTTACTTCATCACGAATTATTTTTTACTATTTGAAGTATCTATCAGGCCTAATTAACATTCTCTTGTTAATTATCAAGAATAATATGGGTGATTTTCAAAATAAATGGATTTTATGTTTCCAAGGCATTGTCATGTGATTACATATGTTTAAACATATTTAAAACTTATGTAAAGTGTTTCTCATGTGTATTTCTGGATATCTGAAATATTTAAAAAAATGAAGTGAAATTGGCAATTGTTATTTTTCATCAACCACTGTTTGTCCAATTATTGATTTTCCAAACATTTTCTATTACTCCAAAGCACTATTAGATTCAAAATGAATTTTACTACGTGAATTTCATTACTTTGGACTTCCATTTTCTAATCTAATATATAAAAATGGATGTTTGTTGGTTGGTAGGTATTATGTTACTGTTTGAAAGAAGCTGGTGAGCTCAGCATTAAATGTTTCGAAAACCTCAATTTGACCATTATTTCTTTTACTATTTTTTCCCAACCAGTTTAGAAAAAGAATTCACCAAATGACTTTTATCACGACTCTTCAAGTCTACTTTAATTACTGAAACTCAACAGCATCAAAGCTTTACAAAAATTGCCAAATCGAGCAGCTCATATAATTCTGAAGTGTAAAATAATAACACATATCCACACAATGCTTTCTTTACTTGACTGATTATCTTTGTAATCAAGATTGTACTACTTTTCAAAGTTCAAAGAGAAAATCTCCTTATTTTGTACTGTTTTTCTTGTTGAAATCAAAACTGAAGACTATCGAGAAGAGATACATACATACAAGCAAATGAATATTTTCAAATAAAATTTTAAAACATTTACCTCACCCAACTACCTACACAGTAGGTTCTGGTAAATGCCAGCCGGAAAACAACTATTTCCCCGGCTAACACTACGCTGAATATTAAATTATATCCGACAGACATTTAGGTAAGGTACCTCACAAAGATTAGTCTCGCAGATGCTTCTCATTCATCCAGCAGCAGAACCATGCTGAAATTATTCAAGTAGATTACCTACAGACCACGGTTTCAAGGTATATTACCTCTCGTCAGTGCAAGAAATATTCTACTCAGACAGCAGAGTGCTTGGGACCCGATTGATTTCAACGCGACTCTGCTTCTATACGAAACCTTGGTCTAAGAGAAATATTGTTAATTCGTAGCTGAACAAAGTCCCCAATCGTAGAAAGATACATACATATGAGAAAATGAATATTTGGTTTGCGAGACCAACCTCTGTGAGGTATCTTGCATAAATGTTTGTTGGATATAATTCAATATCCAGCGTGGTATTACCCGGGAAGTAGTTGTTTTTCGGCAGGCATTTACCAGAACCCACTGTGGTAGCTGGGAGAGATAAATGTTTCGAAATTTCATTTCGATATATTCATTTTCTTGTATGTATGTATCTCTCCTTGATACATATATGCAGCGGGGCCTGATCGGTCCCAGGCATTTTGCTGTCTGGGTAGGTTATTTCAGCATGGTCCTGCTGCTGGATGAATGAGAAACATCTGTGAGACTAACCTCTCTGTGTGTTATCTTGCATAAATGTCTGTCGGATATAATTCAATATCCAGCGTGGTATTAGCCGGGGAAGTAGTTGTTTATTATTGTTCCTTCATCATCAACCAATGGCCATTCTTCACACCTTGGTATGATCATTGGGATGATTTTGGAATGTTTGACATTTTTTGGCTAAAAGTTCTCTCCCTGGCAGTTATGCCTTGCGCTGTGTTTTTGATTACCAACTCTGACACATAGTGAATTTTAAAAATGTTACTTTTATTTATTGCTAGTAAGCAAAGTATTTGCGTAAATAACTGTACCTGAGTAAGTGTAAATTTGATCCAGAAATCATGCTTTTTTACATGTGATCAGAAAATTGTTATAATGATGCCGAAAAAAGTTATTTACAATAAATTAAATGAGTAGCCCAATTCCAAAAAGAGTGTTGTCAATTGTTTCAAACTATTCTGTAAAGTACCCCTGTTGAAAATATATTTAAATTTAGTTCTCAATGTTTTGTAACTCACATCGTAAAACTCTTTTTGGAACCGCGTAAAACTCTTTTTGGAACCGCGCTACAGAAATATGAAAATACTAAGTAAAAATATAATGATAAGAAAAAATAAACTGTGTTTTTGACATTTCAACTGTTGGTATTGAAAATAGTCCAGCAGTAATTGAAGTGTTTTGAATATTTTGAATAAGAACTGGTGTGCCTCACAAAGTAAGTCCGAAGGGAATTATTCTTCTGAACGACTTTTTCATCTTTCATTCATTTATAATTATAATCACCGATGTTAAAAGTGGCATTATATTTCAGTTTATTTACATCAATGAGACCTTCGAGAAACCCTTCTTCTGCACCTACATCAAAACATCAATGTTCACTCTGTACCTGCTCGGTTTCCTCTTCTGGCCATCGTGGAAAGACAACTGTTCCAGGCACTCCAACTACATGTACCTAGAACAGGAACTCGAGGAGGATGGATATTTCACCGAAACGAACTGCAGCCTCAGCAATCCTGTTTTTGTTCCAGTAAAAACCCCTGAAAGGGAGAATCTGGATCGCGGCTCTGGTACGGAAAGCGACGATTCCACCGTGAGGTCCGTTAGATTCAATAAACTGGCAGAGGTGAGGCATATGTCAGAAAGCGAGGCTACGGAAGCTCTTCTGGCAAGATTGTCATATCAGGCTAGCTTGAGGGCAGGGGAGATAGCTAAGAGGGCAGCTAGCAAGCTTCCTGCTGTCAGGATAGCCAAGATTGCTCTCATTTTCTGTTTGTTGGTGAGTGCTGGCTTTCTTTTACTACATTATTTAAAGAATATTAGGTATGTTCAGAACTTACGGGTTTGGAGAGTCCGATTGTCAATTTTTTTAGAATTATATTTGTATACATGCCCCTGAAGTATAATAAAATTTTCAGTAGAATTCATTACTTTGTCTGCAGCCACTAAGGTTAGACGTGTTTAAGAGCTTGGCGATTTTTGTTTGTTAAAACAAATGGATCTAAGAATTTGTGTCAAATTTTACGTAAATAATGAAGTTAGGTGTAACAAAGTGTGTGGAATGTTAACAAAGGCTAATGGTGAATCTGCTATGCATAAAACAAGAATTTACAAGTGGTATAAGCAGGTCTAAAATGGCTGTAAAGATATTGGAGATGACGAACGCCATTGCCACCCCAAACGCCATTGCCACCCCAGCACATCAACAACCGATGAAAACATAGAAAAAGTGAAAGAAACGGCTATGGATGATAGCAATATCTCAATCAGAGGAGTCTCTGATGATGTTCGCATATGAATTGGCTCAAACCATGAAATTTTTTGAATGTTTTTGGTATTAAAAACGTGGCAGCAAAATTTGTTTAAAAATTGTTGAATTTTAAACAAAATCATTGGCGAATAGAAGTTGCCCAGCAGTTACCAAATAAAGTCAATGATGAAGAATTACTGAAACATGTTAAAACAGGTGACAAAAAATAAATTTATGGATAAGACTCAATCTTCCCAGTGGTGGCATTCTGGCTCGACTGGCGAGGTCAAACCTGAAGTTTGTGTTCATTGTTTTTTTCGACTTTATTGGCATAGTGCATCATGAATGAAACAAATAGTAAAAATATCTGAGTGCTCTTCTGAAGAGTCCATCAAATGTGGAGTGCCTCAAGGCTCGATCCTTGGCCCAATTTTATTTCTCCTTTATATAAATGACTTAGATCTAATAGATATATCAGCCACAATCGCCCTTATTATGGCAAACAAAGAAAATGTTGTTCTGCATGTGATCATTTATTTATTTATCTATCTAACATGCAGCACTCAATATACAAACGTGTTATTACAAAGGTATACATAAATACTTATGTTTAAGATCAGTATTGAAATTAAACCTAAAAAAATATGAAATAAAAACTAAGATTAAACCTAAAGACTGTAACTGAGTATAATGTGATACACATATACATACATAATATTACTGGAGTTTCTGTCCCAACACCAAATCGTTATTTTTAACACCTCGACACGTGTTTGAATCATCTTCGAAGGAAGAGGAAGTTTAATCTTCCTCTTGATGATGATCACTTGGTGTGTCAAGGTGTTAAAAATAACGATTTGGTGTTGGGAAAAAACTCCAGTAATATTCATCACTACACCAAAGGTTCCAAACAGTGCATCATAAATACATATAGTGTGTAAAAGCCAAATGGAATATAGGTATTCATTATTACAGTTGCAGTACATATTTTAACAAAATCCCAAAACACGTCAAATTCAAATTTTACATACTTCAAAGGGAAAATGCTACCCCTACCTTCAACCCCCGACGAATGACAGGTACAACCCCCAATTTTTTAACTAAAGGAATCACACGTTAAAAGGTAGGACCTCGTTAATCCTTAGCTCGCGTAAGTTTCGACTTCTGAGGGTTGTCGTTCGTAGGGGTGCGACAGCTGGTTAACGGAAAAACATATTTTAAACAGATTTTTAAACAGATATGCTTGTGATATATCGTTCGAAAGGTCTCTTCATTCTCTATTCAAAAATGTTATCGCTTTCAAGTTTATTGCAACAATTAAGATAAAATAAATTGAATCATGTGGTTACCGAAATTCGATAAAATACACTCAAAACTTATTGCAATATACTCAAAAATTATTTCATGTTGAGGTATTGATAATAAGAAAGTAAGCAAAAACCATAGCAATGTTCTTTATAGATGGTATCCTTTAAAAAACTGTAAATAATTTCCGTGAAAACCTTAGTTCAAAACGCCTTGTCAACCTGTTTTGTATGTTACAATATTAGTTGTCAGTATTTTAATCTAAGTTTAAAGTTCGTTAACTTTAAGTCTGACAAATGGTTAGATTAACGGAAAAGCAAAAAATAACAGTTTTACAAATGATTGGTTACGGAGATAAAACCCGATTACAATAAGAAGTAGCTCGCCTATTTCATGATAAATTTTCTAATTTACCGCCCTTATCTCATGGAACAATAAGCAAAATAGAAAAGCAGTTTCGGGAGCTTGGTCATGTGGGGCAGATAAAAAAAGCAGCTGCCAATGCAATGAGTGATGAACTCAAATTAGATGTGTATTCGAAGCTAGAGTTTGAGGAAAACCCACATACATCAAGTAGTCAGGCATCTACTTCATATAATGTTAGCTATACATCGATACTAAACATATTAATAGAAAATAAAATGCATCCCTTTAAAATGATACCTATACTCAGGAGGTCATGGAAGACGATTTTGATAGTAGAAACTTATTTTTGTGAGCAAACGATGGACATGTTGGATAACAATATTATCCAAATAGAAGACAATATGTTTTGTGATAAGTGTACTTTGTCTCTTTACGGTCATGCTAATCGGCACAATTGCCGTTACTGGTCAACGGAAAATCCTCACTGGATGACAGAAGAACACACGCAATACCCTCAAAAGGTTTATGTCTGGGCAGGAATTGTAGGAAACCACATCATTGGTCCCTTTTTCATTGAGGGCAACTTGAATGGCTATAACTATTTGACACTACTTCAAAATGATGTCATTCTAAGTTTAGCAAATTTATATCCTGATCCAGGAAACCCCTCAAGTTAATGTCCGGCATAACCTCGATCCAACATTTCCCAATCGGTGGATAGGGAGGTGAGGATCGATTGAATGGCCAGCGTGATCACCTGATCTCTCATCATTAGATTTATTTTTATGGGGATATGTAAAGAGCAATGTGTACAAAACTAAACCTTCAGATTTAAATGACTTAAAAGAACGAACAACGCCTGTGATTAGGTTGGTCACGCCTAATAATGATAATGTTAGAAGACAGTTTTATTTTAGATTAGGATGTTGCCAAGACGTTCGCGATAAATATTTTGAACATCTACTTCGTTAGCATCCATAGTTCTTTTTTGTATTCTACATTTCATTATTTTTTATTACATTTTAGTTTTTGAGTGTATTTTATCGATTTTCGGTAACCACCCATTCAAAGGGGGTTGAAGGTAGGGGTGGCAGCTTTACGTTGAAGAATGTCAAATTATAATTTACATTTGACGTGTTTCGGGTTTTTTTTCAAATATGTACAGTAACCGAAATAATGAATTTATTCCATTTGGCTTTTACACACTGTATACATACACATACACACACCATGTATATACATGTGCACAACTATGCACTGTTTTTCGGAAGTGATGGCAAACTTCGTTTCAAGCTACTTTCAGAGAAATTGAACAGATCTACCTGAATATCATTAGCATTCGATACAATTCTGGATAACGGTGAGTATTTTCCATAATTGCATCTGTGGAAATCAATTGCAGACTTCTTAGTGTTTCGAGTTACTCTGGCTGTATGTATGTAGACCAATTATCATCTCTGAAGACATCAAAGAAATAAAAGAATGGTGTGACTGTAATAAGTTATCCTTCAGTATCAATAAAACCAGCATCCTTACTATTTGCTGCACCTTAACTGATATCTGCCTTGGTAATGAAATTTTAGAAATTATACATATTTATAAATTTCTTGGGGTGAATATGGGTGATAAATTGAAGTTCAAGGACCATATAATATAAACTTAAGCAAGAAGCTTGCCGCTTACTTGCTGTGAGTCATCTCTACAGAACTAGGTTATGCTCGTTCAAGAAGAGACCATTTTGCTATCATAGATTTCCATATTAGTATAGAAATTGCCTTCTGCAAAGTCTGCTCCAGAAACTTATTTCAAATAATTTTTGTTCTTCAAAAAAAGGGCAGTCCGTTACATGTGCAAAGCTGCTTCCCTAGTTATAGGCAAACCTCTTTCCAAAGCTCATAGTATTTTAACAGTAGCCTTCTTATACATTTTGGAAACAATATTTTCAATAAAGAAACACCATTTGTCTTGTGTGAGCCACACTTCCCCTCATAATACCCACAGACCCAATAGCAATATAGACCTGCCTATTCCCACAAGGTCATTAGTTAGGGACTCAATTATTTTCAATGGCATCAAACTTTTCAGTCACCTACCAGTTAAAATAAAAAAAAAAATCAATGTGTTCAATTAATTCAGAAAAGAAGTCAAAATGATTCCGGTTGATTGGATCTATTACTCAGTTCAGGAGTATTTTAATACACTTACGAACTAATATTCACTTGCTTAGTATATGTATATTTTTATGTGTTCTATTATATTTATTTATTTCAACTTGTACTGTTTTTTGTATCACAAGACTTTCTCTATAAGATGTATTTTTCTTCAGACAATAAAGTATATTCGATTTTGAAATTGCCATGCGGTCAAAGGAGTAATACCTACAAGTTCAACGTCGTTTTCATGAAGCAATCCGAAAAAACATTCTGATTTGTGGAAAAACGTTTGATGACATTTGCACCACGATAATGCATCTTTCTCCCATTTAATTGCTTGTTCGTGAATTTTTGTCCAAAAACAATAGTGTAACGATGCACCAGCCTCTGTATTCGTCAAACATGGTTCCGTGTGACTTATTACTATTTCTAAATATAAAGAGAACCTTCAGCGGCCGTCGTTATACACATATAGATGACATTAAAAGGGCATTGCTGAAATAGCTAACTCTATCTCAAAGATCGAATCTGAAAAGTGTTTCGAGGATTGGAAGAAGTGCTGGCATAATATCTAATGGGAACTATTTTGAAAGCGACAACAATAATGCAGACCGATAAATAAATACTTTCATTAAAAAACGAAAACTTCCATTATTTTCTGAATATAATTCGTAGATGTGAAAAATTAAATTTTGGTACATGGGATGTTTTTTCCCCGCTTGAGGCTTTGTTCATGAGTTGTTAGTAGTTAACAATTTTTCTCTCAGACAAAGGTTTAATTTATTTTTTTCAGTGGTTTGTTGCTAATTATTCATACCAAGTGGCCCTTGCGGAAACTGAAGCAGGGATGGTCAACGTTTTATCTTCCACTTCGAGCCTCTTCACTTTATTCTTAGCGTCTCTTTTTCCTTCTAACCAAAATGATAAATTCACTTTATCTAAGCTTGTTGCAGTTTCACTCAGTATTATGGGAATAGTAAGTAAATAGACCGCTTGTATGTATCAGTATTGTGAATTTTGTTGTTTTCAGGTATTGGTCAGTTTTAGTGATCTCAGCCTTGAACCGAAAATTCCATTTGGAGCAGTATTGTCTTTATTCAGCGCCTTTTTATATGCTGTGTACCTGGTGTTCTTGCGAAGAAAAGTTGACCACGAAGATAAAATAGACATTCCATTATTTTTTGGTGAGTTTAATGGTTCACATGAATTTTCATACTAGTATAGTATAGACACGCCTGAAGAAACTATTGTAAAGAGAAATACGTGTTGTGTTTTCGTAAAACTATTTAGTGAAAATCTTCCAATAAAGTGTTACTTGAATAAGTAAGGGGTATCATCTTGAAGTTACGAGCCACTTGCGAGAAGCAATACGAAGAAATAGTTCGGTATGTGGAAACACAATTTAGGGCTTTTGTCTCACGTTAATGCACCTGCTGAGTTGTCATTGCTTATTCGTAGTTTTTTTGACAAAAACAACAGCGTCATCATGCATCAGCCACCGTATTCACCAGATTTGCCTCTCTGCGACTTTCTTCTGTTCCCCAGATTGAGAAAACCCATGAAAGGGTGACGTTTCGCGACGATTGAGATAAAAACCGAATCGCTGAGAGAGTTCAAGGAAATACCAAATAGTTCAAAAGAAAAAATCTGTTTTTTCGATAACCAGCTGTCGCAACCCTACAAATGACAAGCCTCAAGTCGAAACGTGTGCGGGTGCTAATAGTTTATTTTTGGCAGACGACAGTGTGTGCCTTCGAATTCTAGATATGAAGAATGTTGGTATCAACATTCTTGAGACATATCTGACAGAGTAATTGTATGCTTTGACCTTTGACTCCAAAGATGTTTTTCTGGAGATAAAACATCAAAAATACATGACTGACTCTGTTATGATAGTAGTTACTGAAATTGGTCCAAAACAAGCACTGCATCCAAACACCAGTACTGCAACACTCTCTCGACGCACATTTGCTAATCAAGTTGGCGTCATCAGAAAATCAAACCTTTCATTATTAAAATTGCTTTAAATAATGGGCCATAGTCAGATTATTCTTCATGAGTGAAAACTAACCCTTCATTAGATTTTTTTTAGAAAAGTTATAGACATGAAAATTGAGACAACCACACATCAAAAACACTTTTGACATCATTCAGCTTTCAAACTAGCAGGGGTATCAAAATCTAAACTTGTATCTTGAAAAAGTATGTTAACGTGTTTAAGAACTGCATGTTTCTAAGGGCTAATGAATTATTAATGTTAACGGGGTTTTTCCTTCTTGTTGGAACATTGCTCGCGTTCAGCCTATTCCCAAAAAGGGCTAGAAAAATCTTCCAAATAACTATAGACCAGTCGCTTTGCTATCAGTGATATCAAAAATCATGGAGAAAATCGTAAACAACCATACCCTCGAATATTTGGAAGGCTTCAACATTTTGAGCGATCATCAATGTGGCTTTGGGAAACAAAGATCAACAGGCTACCTTCTATCGTATGTCACCCATATTTGGAATAACGCAATCGAAAAACATGGAGAATCAAGAGCTGTTGCGCTTGATAATTCTAAGGCCTTTGACCGTGTGTGGCATGAGGGTTTGCTGGTCAAACTTCGATGCTATGGCTTGTTGGATCACTTTTGTGTATGGCTCTTCAGCTTCTTGAAAGAACATTCCCTGCAAGTGGCCGTCAATGGACTTTCACCATCAACGCTAGTGTTCCTCAGGGATCCATATTGTCTCCAACTCTCTTTTTATTGTATATCAACGACGTATTGGAAAAAAACAAGAATCCAATATATTGCTGTGCAGACGACAGCACACTCGTCTCATCATTCCATTTGGATTCCAGGACATCGGCTACGGAGACACATCTTCACCGGTAGCAGGAGGTTGCATATCTTAATGAGGATCTAGAAGTGATTTCGAATTGAGGTGAAAGTAATCCAAACCTTCTTTGGAGTATTGTTCTCACGTATGGAGCTCTGCCCCAAACATACCCTGAAGTTGCTGGATTCCATCCAGAAAAGAGCCATCCGCCTGATTGGAGACGCGAACATCATGTGCAACCTTGATAGCCTGGAACATCGGAGAAAGGTTGGAGATTTGTCTCTCTTTTATAGATACTTCCACGGGAAGCGTTCAAGTGACTTGGCACATTTTATTCCACCAAGAGCGGTACATATAAAAAATACGCGACAGAGTGTGGCTGCTCATCGTTTTGAGGTTCAACTCAGTACACCTCGAACTTCACTGTTTAAGAAATCTTTCATCTGGAGAACTGTGTTTATGTGGAATAAACTTCTTGAGAACGTTTTTCCAAATGGATTTAATCTCCCGCGATTCAAATCCAATGTGAATCTCTACTGTCGCACAGGCACCCCTCTGAGAGCGCCTTAAGGATTCTCCTGTAGTGCTTGTGTTTTGTCCTTAAAAAAAATAATACTGGGTCAGATCCTATTAATCTATAGTGTTGTTATTATGCTTGTTTCGGAGTGCATTTCAGTTTTGTGTTGAATTGAATAAAATTGAAGTTGTGTAATTTTGATGTTTATTTGCAAATACTGTAAAAAGGCTTTTATGGAGTTGCGCACCATAAGTAGACTTGTGACGATAAACTCTCAGAAAGCGTTTGGATGTAAAGTAAAATTTAAAGTGGTTAGAAGGAACAGTTTGTAGTATGCTATGCTATTGATTTTGAAAAAGATATAATTTTGAACTGAGAGGGTGGCACTTTTTTTTTAAGTTCAGGAATAGCATTGAATACTTTAGCTAATAGGTAACTGAAACAGCATTTGAATAGCTGGGTTATGAAAATGGGAGGTGTTAAAGAACCTTTTCTGTAACGGATATGAGAACCTCCAACACAGAATGTACCGAATAATAACTTAGTGATGGTTAAATAAACTCATGATTGAGAATTATTCATTTCTCGTTTTGGTTTTAACACCATCTGCGGAAATTCACTGATAATCCTTACTTTCATTTATATTTTAATAATTATCGGAGAGTTTATAGGAATACCATCAGACTTGCTAAAGAAATTTACTTCAAAAATAGACTTGATAACTCACACAATAAAATTAAAGAGCAGAGATATTGAAATACCAATCAGTGTGGACGATATAAATGAATTCTACTGTTCGATTGGACAGAAGTTCAGTCAGAATATTGTGGTACCATATGACCCACTGATTAATTTAGAAAATGTTGCAATCAATGAATCTCTATAATTGGATGTATTCCATTGAGATGTATTCCAATATGAATGATGGAGATGCTGCTGCAGCAGTGTTTATGTGACCTTACAAAAGCGTTTGACTGCGTTGATCATAAAATACTGATACTGATGTAGAGGGATAAACACTACGGTGGTTTGAGTCATATCTCAATGGTCGCAGTCAGATTGTGAAAACAATTAAATGTACAAACAGTATTGAAATAAATACTAGTGTACCACAGGGATCGGTTCTCAATCCCATATTGTTCCTGTTGTATATTAATGATTTGATGAACATAAGTATATCTGGAACATTCACTCTTTCGCTGACGACACCACTATATTGTGGCATAGTAAAGGTATAGATATACTCAATGAGACAATAGCTCATGATATACAAAAAATCAAGTCTTGTGATTCCAATCTACCCTCCCTTAATATTTCTAAAACAAATATTATGATTTTCAAATGTTCACTTCAGAATTTATCTGTAGCGAGCGCTATCATCGGGAACAGAGAGTGTACTAAATTTCTGGGACTGTATATAGACGGTGGACTGAAATTTGACGGTCACATCAGAAAAATGAAAAGTAAAATTTCCACCGGCTGTTATGCAGTGAGAGTTATTGCTAGAGAACTGGGAGTTTATACTGCGAAAACAGCATATCACGCTTTGGTAGAGCCTCACTTAAGGTACGGTATACCTTTTTGGGGTGTGTGTAGCCTTAATTTGCTGGAGTCTGTATTTGTATCACAGAAGAGAGCTATACGATACTTGTGCAAAGCTAAACCTCGTGACTCATTCAGGCAACTGTTTATAGATAAAAAAAAATTGACGGTTGTAGCTCTTTTTATTCTGGAGACAGTGTTTTTAATTAGGAAACATCTTGTGAAACTTGACGTTTCCACCCATCACTATACAACTCGTCAGAGCATGCAAAAAAATTTAAAATTACCTATCCCTTGCAACTCTCTGGTCAAGGACTCCTTATTTTACAATGATGTGAAGATGTATAACCATCTGCCAAGTTACCCTAAAGAGATAAATATTGATACCAATCAGTGCAGAAAAATTGTAGTAGACTCTATTACAGTTTGACTGAGTTCTATACCGATCAGTTTTAAAGTAGCATGTTTTATGTGTATGTATGTTTCAACCATTGTTTGTGGCTTTTTTTTTCCCAAGAATTCTGGACTTTCTGAATTTTTTGTTTATAGTGTATTGTCAGATTCGGCCAATAAAGAGTATCTGCAAAATTCTATTGTGCTAGTACTAAGCTCTCACACATTTTTTTCAGTTCGAGGGAGGTGTAGGCTTGTTGAATGAGTTTGTTGATGTTTTTCAAACCTCATGAGAATCAAATAACAAGCCAAGGTTTCTGGCTTCATCAACAACATGAAGTGCATCTGCATTTATGTGAATTTCAACTGAATTGATGATTTTACTCCTATTGATTTTTGACCCGAAAATGATAACTTTCTGCTGTAAAAAGAGAGATTGAAAAAGCAATATCTTAAACTGTTCAGATGCAGATGCAAAGAAAAATAACAGTGGTTTCTAACTTGCAAATGAAATAATCTCTAGACCTGATTTGAAAACATTTTAAAACAAGTAATGTACGGATGATATTAATAATCGTGATCCAGTTCGAGAAAAAAAAAACAGAACATAAGTGGAGCGTAACTTTATAAATTCATAATTCAATAACATCTGCCATTTTGCTTGATGATTGATTGTTCATGATCATGTTTGAGAAAAATCTGCCCAAAGTTAGTCCACACTTTGATACAGGTGCCAAGTTTCTGCATGGCTGCACGTAGTAATGTATTTTGAGCAGGCCTTAACTCTTCTCTAACTGTGATACAAGTACTCTTCTGATTGTTCCTATTATATACAATATTTTCATAATAATTCATGGTAAAACGAATAAATAACGAACGAGATTTCTGAGGATCATATTTACCTATACGATAACATTTTCAACTTTGGGGTCATTTTCTGATTGAAAAATTCCAAACCACATTAAAACTATCCTCATTCTCATTTTACGCTAACCCATAGAGTCTAATATTTTTACTTCTCATTACTTGTTCACATTTTTCCTGTTGATTGACGAGTGACGAAATCATTCCACCTTGATCTTTCAACTGCCGTTCAGTTCAGCATTCTCTTCTTTCAACATCTTCAGTTCTGCATCAAATTTCTCACTTATCGTTTCTTTTATGTCCAAGGTTTACAATAATTAGCAGCAGCGAATCGAAAACACAATGACACACACAGAGTGTGTGTGTCATTGTAATAATAACTAGAAGATTTTCGTTGGCATTTGAGAGTTTGTTATTATTTCGCTATTATTATAAAAGTAATATACCTATTTGAACCATAAATAAAAACTGGTTAAAAATCTAAGGACATTTATATAAATATTTATGTTTCTCAATAATCTTTACTGCACCAAAGTCAATGAGCAGTTACAAAATTATCAAAAATTGCAGTGAATTTGTCTCGTAATTATTAGTCCCTGCACTATTACTACTGATATTGTGTTCATAATATATCACTCAAAAATTTGTTATCTTATAAAAGATTTTGAAATATTAAAATGGTATTACAGCTACCAAACTGAGTCATGGCCTGTGAGAGAAATCGTATCTGCGTAAAGTTTGGGTCAGTGTATGACAAAGTATTAGGAAAAAAGGGAAAGAAACTTGTTTGCAATTTTACGTTTACAGCTCGAATAATCTAACAGACAGATAACAGATTTCTACACATCTACTGCACATTTTGAGGAAGGGTCTTCTCACTGGCCATTGACTCAGTCCGGCAACTATACTCATAATTCTCTAATATTATCATTGAAGAGTTAGAACTTTGTCTGAATTGTAAGTGAAAATTGTTCCATTAAATATATTTAGAGTTCAGAACCTCCTCTGAAATATGTCGTTTTTAGGCTTCGTGGGACTTTTCAACTTGATTTTGCTGTGGCCTGTATTCTTCTTTCTGCACTTTAGCAAAGTTGAGGTCTTTGAGTGGCCTACACGGGAACAGCTGCTGCTGCTGTTGCTGAACGGTTTGCTGGGAACAGTTATTTCAGAAGCCCTCTGGTTATGGTAAGTAATTTCACACAAACCGAAGTAACAAATCATGATCTTTTCATTCTCTCTTTAGGGGTTGTTTTCTAACTTCCTCCCTCATGGCTACTGTAGCCATGAGCTTGACAATACCAATGACTATGATGGCTGACGTCTTTCTCAAAGAAGTGCCCTATCCTATACTCTTTTACACTGGTACTGTACCGATGTTGATAGCCTTTTTGGCAGTCTCCGTTCTCTCCCATTACGATAATTGGGATCCAGTCTTCAGTGTTCTACGTTGTGCCTATCTCAGTATTTGCCGTCGGACCAGATTGATACAGTAAGTATTAAATCTTTAAAGAAACCTATATAATGTATAATGAACACTTTCAGAAAAAAGAACCAAATTAGATTAGCAACCTTTCCTGCACCAATTTCTCGATTATTTTGGCCAGGGTGGGAATTAGAGTTATAGGCCTAAAGTTCGATGGGTCGCTACTGTTCCCACGTTTATGAATTGGTACCACAATGGAAATTTTTAAAAACTAAACTAAAAAACTAAAACTTAAAAAAAAAGGGAAAATAAATTTGAATACTGAATCAAGGAGAGATACATACAGAAAAACATATTAATATTTCGAAATTAAACTACTTGCCGGGCTAATACCACGCTGAACATTGAATTATATCTGACAGAGGTTAGTCTTGCAAATGTTTGTCATTCATACAGCAGCGGGCTCATGCTGAATTCATTCGAGTAGATCACCTACAGACCAGTTCCTAGGTAGTACCTTTCATCAGTGCAGGAAAGATCTGACCAAAACAGCAGAGTGTCTGGAACTCGAATACTTTCAACACATTTTGACTGCTTGTATGAAAGATCTAATCGTACCAAACGCTCATAGAACTTCTTTGTATGAAAAAAGCATAGAGTACAGTGGGTGTACATTATACAGTATGCTTCTGATAGCTCTTAAAAATTCCCCAAATATTAATGTGTTCAAAAGTCAGCTGAAAAAAATGCTACTTCAAAGGACTTGTTACACCATTCAAGAATTCACCAATCAACTAACCTGAGATCTTGAGCTTTAGCACACTTGGTTAAAGTGTTCACTTTCAATACTTGAGAAATTGTGTGTTGATTATATTTTATTGGCTCTTTTATAGTCTATAACTAGCTACATTTATATGTTACTTCTATTACTTATGTATGTTTATCACTGTTTGTGTTAGTGTGTTGTTTATATTATTTTGACTGATTTATAATATGGTTACATATTATTTGGACTGACTTTTATAAAATGGTTATATGTAGTTATTTACATTTATATGTTTTTACATTTACTTTTATAATTGACATTTTCTTTGTTTATTGTGCATTGATTTCTGTCAACTGTACTTTTCAACCAAAGAAATAAATATTATTATTATGATATACTGTAAGACGATGGTGGACGATGCGCGGGGGTACAGGGGCGACCCGAATGCGGGCAGACGCGTGAGGGCAGA